CAAATTTCTTTGCAAGTTTTAGGAGCATTTTTGAATTTTTAGTAGTGAAATTTTTACCTTTTAAATTTGAAGAAATGTTTGTTCTGCATTCGCTGACGACAACAAGACAAAATGTGTGAGCATCGTTGGGCTACAGAAATTCAATGTAGGATAAGAGACGAAATTCCCTTAAATGCCGAATAGTTGTATTTATTGACATACGTGGATACCTATTGATTATGTCAAGTCGCTGAAAAGTAAACCGCGCAATGGTTCTGGTAAATGAGTAAACGAAGGTATTTAGGTATTGACCTACAAAACACAATCCTGCTGTCTCCGAATGAGACTTCGACGCAATATATAATCAGTGATCGGACTTCTACCACATTGTGGTAGATCTGCCACGTTTTAGAGCATCTACCACTTCTACCACACAAGGTCTGAAATCTACCATATATTCGCGTTTTTGAGTAGTTTTATTTTTGCTCGCCATAATTTTCTTAATTTCAAGAGCAACAATTTTCCAACACTAAACACTAACAATTCAATTTTTCGACAGGAAACTGGGTTTTATTGTGTTAAATTGCAAAATATATGATTTAAAAAAAGAATTAATAGCGAAAATGTTAAAAAAATGGCGATTTTTGTGAAAGTATTAGCAAATTTCAGTGCATCTAAAGTTTCTAAAGCGTTGTTTACTTTTGCTTTAGAATTGTTAAACTCGGCAAATCCCAAGTAGCTGTTTTTGGAACGTGCCACATTTGTGCGCTACATCCACGATCCAGAAAATAAAGGTCGCGCCATTCGCGGACCGCTAACCCTCTCTTTGTCGATTTGACAGCATCCACCCATTCGCTGACGTCACACGATGCTTTTGTTTACATTTTCTGGTTCGTGACATTTTAGTTTATTTCAACTTTACAAATTTACAAATTCGGAAGATTTTGAGCGTTGTTTTGTTTTTTGTGAAAACTTATAAAAAAAGTTATAAATTAAAGAAAAAAATTAGGTGTGCAGTGGCTAATTGTGCTAGTGTTAGTGCCAAAGGATCTGGGTGCGGTTTTTTACTTTTCCGGTCGACATTGAGTTGGTGGAAAAGTGGATCCAGTTCTGCCGGAGACCAACGGATTTCAACGCCCGAACCAGCGTCATCTGTGTAAAACACTTCACCACTGATGACTTCGAGAACGAGCTTCAATATAAAATGGGTAAGTTATACTATTTAATTCGCCAATAAACGCTTATTGGATTTTGTGAGGATGGTGTGACTCAGGAGTAAATTTCACGAAAGGTAGCCGCCCTCATCGTAAATGTGAAACCCCCGGAAGCTTATATTTTTCACTTTTCATTAATACTGCATTTTATTAAAAGAAATGTTTTAAATTATGTTAGGCTACGCTAAAAAGCGTAACCTAAAGCGGGGCGTTGTGCCGACAATTTTCAAGCCTGCTGCGGAAATACCAGATCCTGACAAGGAAGCCCAGCAGCAAGTGTACAAAACCATTGTGAGCGATCTACTGGAGCAGTCCACTTATAAATGCATTCCAAGTTTATATAGTTGAAGTTCTCCTAGTTATAAAAAAGTACATTTCAGAAGCCGAAGGTCTTATGGGCCATAACTGCGCGGACGAGGAGAACTGTGGCATATTACCAGATGCGTTGACGCCTCTGTGTTCCCCACATCGTGCCACAACACCTAGCAAGGTGTTTTACTATGACAGCACGCCTAAGGAGGTTGAGGATCTGCAAGAAAAATTGTAAGTTCAAAGTTTAATTAAATCTACATACATACATATATATATGTTTATATGTATTTATGTAGACGAGCTTCATTACGCGAAATCGCGTTTCTCTCAGCAAGATGAAAAAAGGCACGAAGAGGCCAACTTGGACGGAAAAGGACATATCGCAGTCCGTTACGCTATATGCTGCAAGTCCCAAGGCGTACCGTCTGCTGCACAAGCAAGAATTTCCCCTTCCTGGAGTTCGCACCTTGCAACGTTGGGCCCAGAAGGTTGACATTTCTAGAGGACTAATTCAACCAGTTTTCAAACTGCTCGGAGCCTCTACTCACATGACCACCACCCAGAAGCTATGTGTTTTGAGTTTCGACAAAATGAAAGTCAGACAGACTTACTGTTATGATGTTTCGTCGGACTCAACACTAGCGCCCGTGAATTATGTTCAAGTTGCTATGCTTAGAGGTAAGTACTACAATCAACTTTGTTACTTTGATGTTATGATTTTAAAATGTATATATATTTTTAGGTCTTATGTCAAAGTGGAAACAGCCTGTGTTTTACGTTTTCGATCGTAAAATGACCTTCGAGGTGCTAGCGAGCATTTTGGAGAAGTCGCAAAGTTGTGGGTACAACGTTTTGGCGATTGTGTGCGATCTTGGGGGCACTAAGAGATCCCTCTTCAATGACCTATCTATAACAGGAGAGAAGCCGTGGTAAGATAACAAATTTACAAATGTACATATATACTATATGCTCAATTATTTAAACATTTCGTTATACAGGTTCATTTTCAACGAGCAGAAAGTATTCGTTTTTGCTGATGTTCCTCACTTGCTGAAATTACTCCGAAATCATTTCCTTGATCAAGGGTTTCTCATAAATGGGAAACCGGTGAAAAATAAATCATTTTGGAGTTGTTGTCATGCACCTCCACGGACTTGACGATCACACACAAAATTTCAGCGAGTCATGTGAACGTGGCTGCACCTCACCGCCAGAAAGTGAAAACGGCTGCGAAACTATTTTCGCACACAGTTGGACAGGCCATAACGAGGGCTGCAAGTTTGGGCCATTTAGCAGATAGAAACTGGAACGAATGTTTCCAGCTCTTCAAAATAGTAAGTATAAGTAAATAAATATAATTCTATATGCTTACATCTATACATATATTTATCTCCCAATTGTACAAATTTTAGACAAATGACTGGTTTGATGTGCTCAACGTGAGGGTGCCTCACGCTGACTCAAGGAAACAGTGTCACCCTTATGGCTTAGCGAAGGAAGAGCAGGACAACATTTTGGATCAATAACTGCTTTGGTTAAAACTATGAGTGTAATTGGAAGGCAGTCCCATCTTCCATTTCAGAAAGGTAAACTTAGAAACTTATATGAAAACTATTAAAAATATTCAATTCTATTTTGTTTCAAATCCCTTAAATATACATATATGTATGGATATATACACAAGTACTTGTTTTTTACCCTTCAGGAATCATACAAAGCAATAATGCATTGAAGATGATGTTTGATGAGATCAAATCTCGCTTCGATGTAAAATATGTACTAACATATCGCCTCAACCAAGATGTCTTGGAAAACTTCTTTGGTGTGATTCGTTCCAAAGGTGGGTTGCATGATCACCCGGACCAGCGGGAGTTTAAGTACCGCCTCAGACTTTATCTGCTTGGCCACAACAAAGGCGTTTTGTCAGACTCTGCGAATGTAGAGGAGGATGATACGCCGGACTTGGAAATGACGCAACCCCCACTCAAAGGTTCTTCAAAAATTTTATTCTTCAATTAAAATATATTATATGTCATATTATATTCTATTATATTATTATATTATATTATTATATTATATTATATTATCATATTATATTATATGACATATTATATTATCAGGTATATTCCTGCAAAATTTGCAAGAAGGACCGGAACTATGGCCGGTTGAAGAAGCTGAGTTCAGCGACTTGGAGCATGATGGCCTCGAGCATTTAGCCGGGTACATTTGCCACAGACTCCAGGATGACATCCCCAGCTCATCGCTCAGGAGCAATGACGACCCGTCGTTTTCATGGGCAAGTCACTTGAGCGAGGGTGGCTTGAAAGTACCCAGCTCTGCAATGATAGACCAAATGCGTCACTTAGAGTCAGTGTTTCAAGCAATGAATGAAGATGGCTTGCTTATTACAAACGACTTTGTAAAAAAACACATTGAGCAAGCCTCGACAAAGAACTCATAGAAAATGCCCACAGTAAAAAAAGAAAATATATAAAAAAATACTGACTTAAGTGCATTTGGTACCATCAACAAATAAACAAGGTATGCAGCAGACCTGGTAAGTGAATAAATTTTATATTTTTATATTAATAAAATGACATAGTGAGCTATACATTTACATATTGCAAAAACATTACCAAAATTCTTTTCTTTCTAGCTTTGAGTCAACATCAACATCTGGAGTACGTGCACTTATGTGATCAGAAGTGAAATATACCTAAGATGAATGCGTAGAATGCCTCCCGTAAGGAAATGGTTCATTAATTGCGTAGCAATATAAATTCATTTAATTACAGGTTAATGCTCTTGATACATCAAAAGGCCCTTTTCAGGGCCGCCACGAATTGCTAACGTGATCAAATTTTTTGCAAACATTAGCTTCTCTGTGTTTGTATACATAAAGGGCCCTTTTCAGGGCCGCAAAGAATTTACAAAGGGATCAAATGCTTTATCTAAGATTATCTGGGTCTACATATACAATACCATATATACACAAAAGGCCCTTTTCAGGACCGCAAAAAATAAACAAAGAGATCAATTTTTGACTGTCGTGATAACGAATAAGAAATGTACATATCGTCGTCTAAAGTACGAAACCGCGTATCAACAAAATGCAAAACCGCGTATCATGATAATGCAAAACCGCGTATGTTAGGTTGAATAAATCACCACCAACTATTTTTTAATTGTGTGAAATTTCATAATAAAACTTTTATGTTAGCTTGCGAATTCCTTAAATACAGTTTTAGCCGTTTAAAGTTTATGACATACAACAGTACGACAGTATAAAACACCTTGCTTATATAAATCATCTCCCTAGTTTTTATATGTTAAAATGTTAAGCAATTGCTTTTTTCTTGAAATTGCATACCTTTCACTTAAATTTGTTTGAACATAATATTTGAATTATTAATAAACAAGCACATGTACTTATTGCCAATAACAATTTCTATTTTATTTAGTTTTAAACTTTTCTTTATATATTTGTGATTACATAAATCGGTTCTCGTTTTATTACACAGGATCATCTCTACTTTTTATAGAAAATTTTGAAAAAAAAGGGAAACTAAGTGAAGTAATTTTATTATTGGCAGAATTAGTGTCTAACCCTACGTGACTGCTTCTAAAAGCTATTGTGTTTCACGTGGCATATAAGACTTAATTTCATTATTACATTAGTGTGATTTATATGTATGTATATGAATAGGATATATATTTATGTATTTAAAAACCCACAACTTTAAGACCGCGCCTCTGAACTTGTTCAAATCTTGCCGTGTCACAAACATATTCGTTATTAGCAAGGAGCCCTGTTTCGCTGTACTCGAGCGAACAGTGCTAGCAGCAATTGGTGACTGCCCGAATTGATCCCGACGCGCTTTTTGTTGTTTGAGATTTTCTATACGCGCTTCTAGTATCTGTTTGAAGTCGGTGCCCATGCTGGCTAATTTAGATTGTAACGCATACACCATGATGTAAGTCAATTCATGAATCTCTTGCGGTCGATCATCAAAAAGACTCTTCTTTTTGGCCACTGCAAAAGAAAAGGTAAAGTAATATTTATAATTAAGAACACCTATTCATTTTATACTCACGCATTGTCAATTTTTCCAACTTGGCATATGCACTTGCTATGTTTTTACCAATATATTTGTGACCATCATAAATTCCTTTCTTTGGCATACGTCAATTGTTGCACCATAGCCTGTAAGGAATGCGTAAATATAATAATGTAAACATCTTCAACTGCACTTCTACTTCTAACTTACTTGTAAGTCTCTAATCTGATGCTCGTACATAAATTGCGTGTGCGTCAAGGTCTCTATACGATTGCCGACTTGGTTTACATTGGCCTTATCCGATGTGTATAAAGTTAGCGAAACAACATGAAGAAAAAAATGTCGCATATACCTATGAATTTGCCGTTTTTTT